GATAGATTAAATTGTTGTCGTAACTGCGCGCTGTATTGATTTTTTGCGGACAAAAAAAAAAAGAGAGTCCAAAATATATATTTCCATACCCCCCCCCCCCCCCTTTGACCGAAAAACAGTGAAAGGTGAGTACGAATAGAAAAAATTTTGCGAAACAAAAGACTTTTTTTCTTGCTGTTATGAAGTCCCGATAATAAGCTGAGCGCCCTCTTGGAAAACTATCGACTACGCACCTAATGCAGAATGCGTCATACTAAAGGATTGATCTTTCTATTGATCTAGATAGATTTGACATTGAATTTTTTCACTTGTTGTGATGTCTAATATTTGATAAACACGAGTGCTCGATAAACGTCCAACAATAACTCATTGTGCCCCTTTGAAATGCTTCCAAAATAAAATAAGATTCCGAAATGTACGAAAATGGTGGTGTTAATAACTGAAAGGCAGTGTCCATCGCAGTTAATTTTCAAATACTTATGTAACTCATTGAGTTGGTACTTAACACTTTGATGTCGAATTTATTTTTAGAATAAACACAGTAAAAATCTATTGTTAACACTATTTTAAAAATTATTGGTGATCATAATTCTTACATTTACAATTGATATAAAGATACATTGTCGTTAAAAGTACTATGTATTTCAGAACATAACACATATTGAAAAGATCGGTTATAATAGATTTCGGTTTCACTCTTAATTCAAATTTTGAAAACATAAATTTAAGGGCTTCGCCGTCAAAAGGTTAAAGAGACAGTGACAGACTTTATTTTAGAGGAGAACCATAGTCTTAATCTAGAATACTCTCCTCATGAATTCACAACTGTGAAGATAGATAGGCTTGTAAGAAAGGTTAGATAACAAGTTATTAACAAGAGTTCCTAAAGTATAATATAGTAACAAGCTAGATCATACAAAGTTTTCAAGAAAATAATTAATGAAATAATTAAGAACAATCTTCATTTGCACGGTAATTCTGATAAAATTCAGTAAATTTTATTACAGCGACTAAAGTTAGAGAATTCTTTTATTTTATTTGTGAATATTGATATCGTTTAAACAACAGAATTCATGAATAGTTTGATTTAACAAGGAAAAATAGTTTACATAAGATGTTTTGTTCAATCATTTGAATAATTATATCGATCGTAATAGCTGATAAGAAGTTGATCAGCGCAAGAGAACATGCCAAAAGGAATAGTTTCTTAGTTTAGCCAATAAAACCAGTACTGTTATTACTGCAAGTAACATATTTGTGGCAACATTCAAAACTGCTTGATTTGAATATACTTTGTTTTAAAGTAGAAAATTTACATTAAAATAATATTCTTCGTTTAGACGGTACAGGTGACTCGATTGCTAATATGAGTATCCTCTTGAATAAAACTTGTTGGATAATCACGAAAGGAAGGTGCCTACGCATTGTCCATTTAAAATATGAAGTGTTTTTTATCAAAAACATTTATTAGTATATTGAATCAATAAACGTGAGGATTACTCGCATATATTACATAGAATTATATACCGGAGCTCATTGCTGACAAGTTCACGGTCGTGACAAAACAAAAGTTCTTTACAACGACCTCCTTTAACGAGACTATGAGAATAATTTGAGTTGAGCCTTTTGTTCAAAATTGTCTCATTTTCAAGGTAACGCTTGAAACTTGAAGATACAATAATCTCCGACATAGAAAAATGCTGCGTATTGGTCATGACCAGTGATGTCAATGGTTAGTCAAGAAAACTTCTGGTCACGACCAATGCATAACATTTTTTCTGCAAAATATATTTCGATTTACACGTCTTAAACGGCATTTGAAGAAGCGAAAATCATGACGAAGAAGTTCAACACGATTCATTCTTTTTGTTTTTATTACTAACAGCTGTTGTAAAAACTTTTCTTTTTTTGCTCACGATAGTGATCGAGAGGCATATCTCTGCTTGAGAAAATCTACGAATTTCTGCAACTAGTGCACAATAATATCAAATAGGAAAGCAGAGTTCAAAACAGACCATCATCTCTCTTGCATAAATCATTTTCTATCCTAGATCATACGTCTATGCATTCATTTTTCATCCACTGAAAAACGTCCTTTAACATCTAGTATAAACATGCTGTCAACGAAAGTCACTAATATTTAACATTTTATGTCATTTTAACAATCCTTCACATATCCGAGAAGGTAGTGCAATAGTTGAACTGACATAAAGCAGCTCAACATTCTTTCAACTTTTCTTTCTTTAATGACGAAAAGAAAAGAAAGTCTAGCAGATACGACATGTACGCTTCCTCGGGAATGTTGTATATGCGGTGATATTGCACGTGGTGAAAATTTCAGTATTATTTCGTGCATGTCTTGTAAATCATTTTTTTCGCAGGAATGCACATAAAAAATCGGTAAAGTTTGCCCACATCAATAAAAAGAAATGTAGAAGTTTTTCTTAACAAATTCAATACATCATATCACTTTGTCAATTTGAAAGTGATTGCAATATAACGAAAAGAACACGTAGTTACTGTTCACCTTGTCGTTTAAAGAAATGTTGTGCATTATAGGAATAGATCCAGCACTAATTCAGCAGATGTCTGATTTCAGCACTGTTCCCAAGAAAAACCAACGATTGCAAACGAGAGAAGACAAACAGATTCAGTTATCAAGAGTAATATTACTTAAATACTCTTTGAGAATGATATGTTTCTTTGTTTTTCATATAGCCTTTATCACTTAGCTTTCTTCGAAATGATCGTTCAATGTTGACAACTAATGAATGGGTTCTTCTTTCGAACTTTCTTCTTGCATTTGATGAGCAAAATTCTTACACACGAATTCAATGTTCTCTTAATGAACTAGCTACATTATCACCAAAGTTACGATCGAAACCATCGGAAATCGTGAATCTTATGCGCTAGCTTTACAGCACTGTTGAACCACTTATCGAACGTTCGCCAGATTTTCATTCTTTAGTGGTTGATGATCGTCAAATCCTTATTAAGCATAACCTGCACGTTACTGGCTTGACGAATGGATTTCTATTGTGTCGTGAGCTGAATGTATTCGATAATATCACTGCTCTCAATTTTTACAATCAGCTATATGGATGTGAATATATGATAGAATGTCGTCGAAGTATGGCGCGATATGATCCGAATGGAGGTCTTATTAAAATCTTAATATTCATATTAGCATTTTCAAGTAATTGCTCAGTCGTTAAATACGATAATGAAGTAGACATTACCATTATGTCAAACTCAACCAATCTTGTTCCTATTCAGAATGTATATGTCACGATGCTATGGAAATAATTAGTTTATCTATATGGATTTAAAGAAGCAACACTTTGATTTACTTGTCTTGTAAAGAATGCTCTAGATTTAATTAATATGTTAAATCAGATACATCAGAGTGAAACTCGTACGCGTTTGATTGATAATATAGTAACGGATACAGAACGTACATTGGCGATTGACTACTGAATCACAAACATCTACTCCGATTTCTACATAGACAAGAGATGTTTCTGTTGTCTAACGATTATCGTTATTGTGAATAATGAGACTTATACAAAAGAAATATGTCGATAGTCATCAGTGTCGTGTCTTCGCCAGTATTGTTATTTATTTTGTAAAGTTAAACTGAAAACAAAGAAAATTTATGTATTAAAGTATTGAATAAAATCAAGAGGAAACGTGAAACTATATTCGATCAAAAAAAAAGAAAAAACAATCTTTATTGGGAAAAAGATTATAGAATAGCAAACTCAACGCCAAGTAGCGAATATTGAAACATGTTTGAAATTTTCTAACAAATATCATTTTTAATGATAGCACTTCTGGTAAATAATCCAATTCAAGTCATAAATTATGAACTGAATTTGCCTCTTTACATATTTTCCTATCTCCTGTTTGCTCGACAATCAAACTGATGTATTGTGAAACTATGTATCTATTTCTCTTTCTTTTTGTCCCTTCTATTTGATAAATGAACTTATAATATCACAATGAAGTTGAGTCGAACGTAAACAAAGAAATACAGAGATGTTTTGTCAGATAAACTTTTTACAAAAATCTACGTTTTTTTGCTTATTGCTTAAAAGATTCTTTTGCGTAGCTATCAACCATTTTGTTACAATCTCCTAAACTAATTGATAGATGATGTTCATCGAAACCAATTGATGCATGTACGCTTTTTTGCAGAGATGTTGAGTTTCATCAAAACAAATTCGGATTATTATTTAAAAAAAACAGGAACTCACAGATAATTTATCCAATATAGTATGGGTCTAAGTGTAAAGGTTTACCGAAATACACATAAGAATATGAGTATTGAAGGATAG